CAGCCATGGCGGCCCAGGAGCTACGCTGGCTCACCTACTTGCTGACCGACCTTGGAGAGCAGCCTCGTTCTCCTCTAGTGCTGTACGTCGACAACAAGGCAGCCATTGCCTTGTGTGAGGAGCACAGACTGGAGCACAGAACGAAGCACATTGCTCTGCATTACTTCCTTGCTCGAGAGTTGCAACAGCGTGGTCAGCTTCGCCTGCGTTACGTGGCCTCTGAGGCCAACACTGCTGATGTGTTCACCAAGGCGCTTCAGCCTTGTGATCATCAGCGCTTTTGCACTCTTCTAGGCCTTGTGCCTACTGGACCTCACTTGCTTACTTCTTGAGTCTGTTTGTACTGTGATCTCTATATATATACCTGCATGTTTACTCTTGTTAGGTTGTGATCATTGTACCTTTTGCTCTATTATAAACCTGCATGTGAACTGGTCTTGTGACCACTTGCTTGTGCTCGGAATTTGTGTGGTATCCTTGAGATCCACCCCGAGCTTGTTTTGCCTTGCTTTGCCTTGACTGGTCTTGTGACCCCTAGTTCTCCCCCACTTTGCCTATGGGGGTGTGTCAAACATTATATATGTTGTGTTAGTTTAGGCTACAGTGGGTTAGCCTATAGGGGGTACACAATTCTAGGGTTAGGTACTTGTACTCATTTCACTGCTAGTTCATTCATTCCTGTTCAGTGATTCCAACACCGAGCCGCTTCCAATTTGTACGGCTACACATTTGACGAAGAGTACCTTCGCGCGCTTAATCAAGCACCGCTGCAACTCCACCGCCGGCACGGATACTGTCAGCGACCCCGCTGACTCCGTTAAGACTCATTCTCGGAACTGCTGGGTCCACCCGCAAATGTCGGAAATAACCACACCACGTAAAGTCTTGGTCGCCTGCAGGTTGTCCCCCGAAAGAACCGGTGTTTCTATCGCGCCCACCCAGTCACCATTTTTTTCGCGCGGTTAACCACTCAAGCGACCCACCAACAGGAGGTGCTTTTTAGGCGTGGAACCCAGTACTTATGGGTCTTCCGAGACCGATTTTCACGGACCCTAGCGCGCATCAACGCCGCAGATCTCGAAGCAGAACTCCCCCAGACTGCTTCGAAGTACACCGAGAAACGCTTAAACAGCTGGCGAGCAGACGTTCACCCGTCTCCCACCGTCGAAGTTGCACCCGAAAATCATGGTTGAGGAATCAAGCCCCGAAGTATTTTCTGCCTTGTAGCCCCGACATTTCCGCCGTTAACCCTGGTACTCCGACGTTCACCCATCTTCGTACCTGTCGAAAATACATAGCAAATCCCAGGCATCCTTGGCATACACCCCTCGCGGCGCCTCCATGTAACGATATCAAAACCTTTCGGGGGTCTACCGAATAGACTCCGAAATTCGCGGTGGAGTGGTATACGGGCTCCGCCTATCACTCAAGTAGCTTGAAACGGCACCCACAACTTTCCCTCCTTTTTTGTTTTGCTTTCGTCCCCCGACAATTTCGCATGCCACCGTTCACCCAGCGTCCGCTTTTGTCGGATGAGACATTCTTCGTGTTGACCCGCGATTTTTCTGGCGTTCGATGAAGGCGCGAACACAATCGTAGCCGGGGTGAGTTTATCGTATCAAACGCCCGCCCGGCCGCTTCGCTGCCCACCGTGCCTATCGCACTAATAAGTCTCCACAGCTTCGGGAACTCCATCTTCGCTGCTACACCGCCGTTGGGTAGACCGATGAATCAGGAGAAACACCGACAGCTGCCACAATTTCCTCAGTCCCGACTTTTTCGGCAGGGTAACTGTCGCCGATGGTCCGTTTTTGTCGGGGCCCCACAGAGTCGCACCACGAAATGTTTCTTGTACGCCCTGCCGTCGAACCAGCGCCACCCACGCCTTTCTAACCAGCACAGGGCTAAAACACAGGGCCCCACCTTTTTATCCAGTAGCCAACAGGACTTACGAATTGCCTTCGAGGCTTTTCTGGTGTGAGGTATGTGAAACGTCGGTAGACTTGGCCGGTAGGGAGCTCCTTCTGCTACCGCCGCTTAGCCGTGAGTCTCGGCCTCAGCAAAAGTCGTCGCTGTAGGTCGTTTTTCTCGCCTCCTGAAGTCGGAACCCGTTTCTCTCGCCGGACCCGTATTAGTCGCAACTCCGTTTATTGTAGCCGGTAGAACCCCCGAAAATCGCGGGTCTAAACGCTGCGCCGAATCGTTGTTCCGTGGTGTACTGGGCTGTCTGCAAACACAGGTACCTCTGGCCGGAGGGAACTGTGCCGCCTGAAGTGCAGAATCGGCTGTTTTTGTTGCTTCCGAAAATTTCGCCGATTATCATTGTACCAGAAACAGTAGTCATCCAAGCCGGAACAGTCTGGTCGTAGGCGGCCTTTTCCGAACTTTTCGGTGGTTTGAAGAACAACTTCCGTCCCACACTGTGCCGCTCTACCGAAAAACGCCCACGACGCACCCTCCTGCAGCAACACCTGCCGCACCCGGGCGGGACGACGGTAGACCCCGGCTTTCTTCGGGCAGTCGCCACGCCGCCTCTCCTCGCCGTCGGTTTTTCCGACACAAATCACACATTGCGCCTGGCTGCTCGAACAACAGTCGTTTTCCACGTGCTGCTACTCCGAAATCTTCGCTCACAGTGACGCCGCGCCACTTGCCGAAGACCTCCAGCGGACTCATGCGCAACGTGACGAAGACACTTCAACGCCACTTGCTGCATGCAGTCCACTCCGATGTTTTCGTGCGCAGTTGACGACCACGTGAAGAATGTCAACTCGCACCACGTCGCTCCCGACAATTTCGGACGTGCGCCGATGACGAGCCTGCCGACGTCAGCCGCTGCACGGCATTAACTCCGAAATTGACGAAAACGACCACAGTTAACTCACGTATTAAATGCGACGACAGCATAAGCTGTCCGCCACACGGGGGGAGGGAGGCCACGGTCCATCTCGACCGTCGAGGGCAAGGATCCGTCGATGTCGCAGGAGCGCCTTGAAATTCATGGCCGCTAGGAGCAACTACCCGTTCTCCTGGCCGGCTCTTGCGCTGCTCCTGTCACCACGGCATCCTTCCCTGTCCCCCCCCCGAGGGGTATTACACTCTAAAAAACGGGGAAGCTACGAAAATAGCTCTAATACCAAGTGTTATGAGTTTTACTAGACAGAGTGCGCGGAAGACTTCTATAAAGAGAATGAATTACAGAATTACTGAATGGTCAAGAATGATTAAGGAGCACGCATTTATAGGGTCGAAACCGTGCTAGGCAAGGACCTCGGGACGTGGATGGTTTGGATGTGTCGCGATTGGTGCGGGGCGATTCGGCATTGGTTTGGTGCGGAAATGTAGGCCGAGCCACCTGACGCGAAGTGCTCGGGCTGTACCCGTTAAGGCAAGGCTACAGTAAGGAATTGGCAAATTCCTTACAATATGGAAGACCATTGCTTTTTAATTGTGATTCAAAGTGATGTAACGAGGCAACAACAAGGCATGGGTCATGATAATTGACTGCCAAAGATCTGCATACAGAAACGGTGTACCTTTGTTTCTTAACTTCACCATGGAACTTATTGCTGACAGATAGTGACTGACAGGATTGCGGCACGTTCGTGTTCAGGTTCAAGTGGATACTAATTTTCCTGACATTGATGTGAACAGCTTTTCCTGCGAACTACATTTGTTGAAGCCTCAAAAGAGGCGATATGACGGCAGTGGCACTGCAGTGTGTGGGTCGAATATATACATACCATAGCTTTACATTATTTTTTTGCCTTCCCTTTTCCATCCAGCACTGGCTTTGCAAAGAAATCCTCAATCTTCCGGTTCCCACTATCATGCCCTTTCCTGCTCCCACTACCACCACCAGCACCAGCACCAGCACCACTGCCACTGCCACTGCCAATAGCACCAGCACCAGCGGCAGCACCACTCTGCTCTCCTGCCTTGTCCATCCTTGTCCGCTTGCTGCGCCCTGCCTTCCCCTGCCCACTGTCCTCTGGCCCAGCAACCTTTATGAACGTGCCCCCACATGTGCGTGCATGCCTGCACACGAGTGAGTGCGTGGGGGGAGGGCAAAGAGGGGAGGGTTTGTGCGAGAGTAAATAAGTGGTTTGCCCTGGTGCGGATGGGAAATGGGAGTGATTCTTGAATGAAAAAAAGGCTATTCACAAGGCAGCCACCCTCACCACCAGTCTCCGCTCTAGCAACCACACCTCCGTTGCTCACATCCTCTCTTTCTTGACCTACCTCTGCCTGCACCCCACTCCACCCCTTCCTCTCCCCCCCTCTCCACACACGTCCCAACAGGCTCTTTCGACACACATCTCACACACCAACAACCCCCAATGAAGCAGCAGCAGGCTTACAAGTGCCAGTTACACCGTGGGTGCCGACATGTTGCAATGCGTCTCTGCCTCTCCCTCTCTTTCTCCTCTGCTGTCATCATACCCCCATTGCCACCCTGCCCTCTCCCTCCTTGCCCTTTTCCTCCCTGCCCGTTCCCCCCCTGCTCCCTCCCCCCCCTCCCCTCTGCTGTGTATGGCTGTCTGAGCGCCATGCAGTCAGCTACAGAGGGAGGTCGGTTCATGGCGCGCCGCACCTCCTCCTGACACCTAGCACACTGCCATTGGACGGGAGAAGTGTCGGAAGAGTGATCACGGGCATGGAGCGAATTATGGGCAGACAGTTTAAGGTTTGGGAAGAAGGAAGGTGATCGTGATGGGGAGGGGGAAGGAGCGCGAAGAGAAGGGAAAGGGGTGTGAGGGAAAGGCCATGAGCATTTCCTCTTCGAGCGGAGCAGGTTAAATGAGGAGCAGCGGACAGGCCTCGCAGCATACAAGCATGTGTATCTCTCTATCTCTCTCCAAACAACGACAACGGAATCTTGGGCCCAATGTCTGTGACAGCGTAGCATAGCACATCCCCTCCAGTAACTGTTCAGCTGCTGCAATGCAACCAGCGCTACCACAGCACCATGCCACCATGCCATCTCCACTCTCCTCCACTCACCTCACCACACCCCCACACCCCCCTCCACTCCCCCTACAACCCCCCCACACACCACGGCACCCCCTCCTCCCCACCCAGGGCACCTGCCAGGCGTGGCGCCTGTGCACGTTGACTTCATCCTTGAACGAGTGGTAGACGGATATCTGGTAGCCCCCAGGGGGGCGCTGGGATGGACGGCACGGAGGGAGGGAGGAGAGCAACAGCAGAGCGAGGAGGAGGGAAGAGGACACACACGTGACGGGCCATTTTTTGGTTGTTCGTGGGTGACGAGCGTGGAGGAGCGAGGCGGTGGAGATGAGGGGTGCTTTAGGTTGGGATCTGGTGGTGAGAAGAAGCGGCTTTGCGATGAGAAGCAGCAGGAAGATACTCTTGCAAATGAGTGGCACATGCGAAGCAAGGCAGGCAGGCGGGCAGGTCCGACCTTGACAAAGAAGCCTGAACATCCACCAGCACGTTTTGTCACGACTGGGAAACGCTTATCATTTGCACTCACTTTCAGCTCCAATGAAAACACACACACGCACGCATGCACAAATGCACGCATGCACGCGCGCACACAAACAAAGATCCTACGTGGCACCTGATGGTCGTGCAGAGTGCTGGTGTTGATGGTCCCCATGATGCCCTGGAACATGGGCCCGTGGTCCCTGGCGTTGGCGTTGGCGTTGGCGTTGGCGTTGGCGTTGGCGTGGGCGTTGGCGTTGGCGTTGGCGTTGGCGTTGGCGTTGGCGTTGGTGTGCATGCCCACAGACACGGGCACAGGGGCGTGTGTGCGAGAGAGGGCGGGCGGAAGGGAGCGCTGATTGATGAGGTGCAGACAGACACTCGGAGCAGGCGAGGCGGAGTGAGAAGACCATGCTCACATTGCACAGAGCTTCCTCACAATCACTGCGTGATGCCTCGCCTCTCCACCAAGTGACACGCACCACCCTCCCTGCCACCCCACTACTCGTCCTCCACACCCCACCATCCCCAACCTCCCACCCTCTCCCTCCCACAGCTCACTCTCTGGAGCGAGTGGGACAGCAGCAGAGAGGAGGACGAAGGCGTGGACCATCTCGTGCCACCCCACACCTTGCCTTCTCTCGCCCCCAGTTCCGAACCCCTCATACCCTACCCCCCTTCCCACCACCTTCCCCCACAACCCTCCTCCCCTCCCCTGGCTCACTCTCGGGAGTGCGAGGGGCGGCAGAGGAAGATGAAGGCGTGGATCATCTCGTGCAGCAGCGTGGCTTTAAGGTCCGACACGGGGCGGTACTGCAGCAGCGGGGCCGACAGCCGGATGCGGCACAGCGCCCCATCGTACATGCACACGCCCGCACACCTGCGGGGGTGGGGGGGGTGGGGGAGGGGATGGCGGGGAGTGGGGGAGGGAGTGGTGGACCGTGGATGGATGAGCCACGGGGGGAATAGGGTCAGGTTGGGAGTGGCGGGAAGTGGCAGGAGTGGTGCGAGTGGTGGGAGTGGTGGGTGGAAAGGGGGGGAATGGGAAGGGTGGCGAGCGGGAAGCAGGGAGTTCCTTAAGGCACATGAATGCTGGCGGCAGTAGGCAGACAAGGCGGATGGAAACACAGAGAGAGGCGTGCGCTGCGGTAGGTAGGTAGGCAGCAATCTTGATTCTTGACGCACCGCACGTCCCTTGCACTGCACGGACCAGACGGATGTTCTATCTACCAAACAGAAGAAACGCACGCTATCCCAGCGCTGCCTGTTCCTCGCTCGCACCCCTCTCACGCCCAAGAATCGCCCACGTCGCACTCCTGCACTGCCTGCCACAGCATCCTCCTTACAGCGTCATTCGTTTGGAGCTCCACTCGACAAGGCACGCCCCCAGGCGGCCTTGAAAGTAGAGGTCGTTGTAATGGCGGAAGAGCGCTGTTATGTCCGGACACGGGTCCAGCAGGTCGGGGTCAGGAGGTGGGGGGACTGCAGGCAGTGGCACTGGGGGCAAGGGCAACGGAAGGACGGGAGGAAGGGCAGGGATAAACGCGGAGGAAGGGTGGGGAAAGGGGCGGGAAAGGTGGGGGGAATGAGAAATGGGGGATGCAGAGGAAGGATGGGATGGAGGATTGTAGAGCGACGAGACGAGCAAGCAGGCAGATACAGGGTATGCAGGCCAAGGGGTAGTGCTTTTCCAAGGGCAGATATCAGGCCATGGTTTGAACCACATGACGGCGAACATGCCCCTTGGGAAGGCACTACCCCTTGCCCTGCGTGCAGCATGCCTACTCCCCCTTCCATCATCCCATCCCGCCCGTCCATCGCATGCAGTTCCCGGATCGTGCAACGATCTACAAATCCCCTTATCCGCCATCCGTCTTCCCCAGCCCCTCCCCGTCAACCCGCTCGGCGTATCTAACCATACCAACCCCCTCCCCCAATCTGCCCATACCAACCCCCTCCACCTTACGCGACCAGCTCTCCGCCTCCTCCGCCTCCCCCTCCGCCTCGTCATCGATGGTTATCACGTCTCGCGCCTCCCGCGGGTTCCGCTCCCACCACCGCTCCGCCTCTCCGCCCCGCTCGCGCAGCTCCGCCGCAGTCGACCCTTCCGCCCCGCCTCTGCTGCTGCCGCTGGAGGCAAATCCCGAAATGCTCCAATCTTTCCTGGGCTCTTGCGCGATACCCCCCGCGCGTCCTCTTTCCGCTGAGGACGTTGGTCTGCTAGGGTTCTCGAGCGCAAGGCGAATCCCGGGATCGGATTCGGCGAGGGAGAGGGCGATCGCGAGTGCGAGGTCGTCGTGAGAGAAACCGTCGCCCGCCATGCCGAGCGAATTTGTGCGACTGCGCGCGTCAGCTGTGTTGGACTGTGAAAGCTGCAAGCATGGAGGGAATGACTGGCACTAGACTAGAGCCTTCATGTTTTCGATTCCCTTGAGCGGCGTCGAAAGTTGTTGTGACCAAGCGTAATGGTCAACCATATTCGCGTTCTTGGCGATAGCGATGGAGGGTGGGGGGAATGCTAGGGAGGTAGGCGGGTGGAAGCGAATATGTCAACGAGTAGAAGAATTAACTAAAGGGTTGCATACAAGGGCAGCAACCCATACCCTCTACAGTACAACCCAGCCTAGCCCAACAATGTACACCTACAAGTGTAGTTTGACAAAATGGACCTACTGCAACAACAACACAACAAATAGTCCCTCAGCTGAAAACCAGCAGGCAGCTCGTGTAGTGAACATAGTGCATGCCCAATGCGAGGCCTACAACACCATCCCATGCCATCATGACTCATGGGCTAAGCCTCAATCGACACGCAGAGTGGCACCTGGCTAAGGAGCAAAGGAGAAAGCAAGAAAACAACACAAACGTCTGCACGCACACGCACACAAGTGGTACTGCCCACCCGAATGGCCCTAAAAAACCCTGAAGCCAGGCCGAATACCGCCTGCAGAGGGACTCGACGGCCGAGCCTTCCCAGTAGCAGCAGCTGCAGCCGCAGCAGCAGCACCCATGGCCGCAACAGCAGGCCGTGGAGCGAAACGAGGCGAGACAGGGTTATCTGAGGATGAACCCCGACGGCCAGAGTCCGCAGCATCACTGTCTGTTTCCAAAAGCGTAAGGTTAAGACTTTTGCTTTCCGCCCTTGCCGGTGCTCCCTCTCTCGGCCCTCTGTGCACGCTAATCACGGAATACTCCCCAAGCCTGGCGTACACAGCTCCTGATGCCCCTACCGCACCCTGTTCCTCCGACACAAGAGCATCACACCCGGATGAGCCAGCAGCTGTCACCGCTCCCCCTCCGTGTCTGCTTTTCTCCGAGGCTGGTCCAGCCACGCGGGACCGCTGTCTCAGCAGCATAATCTCCTCCTCCATGGTCGCAATCTTCTGCTGCTGAAGCACCAGCATTCGCCATGCAGCATCGTGGATGCTCGGCTCTGGCTCTTTCCATGCCACCATGCTGGCCTTGCCCACACCTCTGCTGCTGCTGCTACTGCTTCCCATTCCTGCGCTGCTGCCGCTGTTGCTGTTGGCTACTCCTATGGAGCTGCTGGGGGCGAAGCCTCTGCTGCCGACCAGACACTGACCACTAGGGGCACTGCTGATGTCGTTGTGATGCCCTACACTAGCACTGGTCTCGCCAGAAGAGCCAGGAGAACCACCAACAGCAGCACCAGGAGAAGGAGTAGCAGTAGCAGTAGCAGCGGGGAGAAGAACGGGTGGCAAGGGGAAAGCGTGCCTGATCTCGCCTTCTGAAGCACTAGCATGGACGGCCGCAAAAACCTCACCAGAGGCAGCAGCAGCGAAGTGGTCTAAGCTGCCATCCAGAGCCGTTGCCATAGGTCCATGCCTTATCACGGGCATGGTTCCTCGGCGGATCAGCGACCAAGTGCCACTTCCCACCCTGTTTCCAGGCCTGCCACTGCCAGCCGCCCTGCTAGCTGCAGCAGAAGCAGCAGCCGCCACTGCCACACGCAATCTTATTGCTTCCATGCTGTTCCCACTCTCACCAACGGTGGTGTTGTTATTGTTGTTGTTGGTGTTTGTGGTGGTGGTGGCGATGCTGCTGCTGCTGCTGCTGCTATTGCTACTGCCACTCTTGGCACGCAAGCCAAAGAGGCCGCGGCGGCTGTGCAGGGAGGAGTAGTTGAAGCTGCTAGCGATGCGAGAGATGAAGCGCGAGCGCGCAGCAGAGGCGATCCAACCGCGCGAGTCAGAAGCAGCGGGCGATACGGACACATCCACCAGCTCCACCGCCGCCCATGCTGACGCCGCCGCTGCTGCTGCCTCGTCCTCTTCGTCAACACTGCAATCGTCAGCAGCATCGCTGTCATTGTCGATCCCTTCATCGCGAGCAGGAGCACCTGGAGTCGCAGGAACAAGAGCAGAGCTTTGAGGGACGTGAGATTCTGCAGAAGCAGCGCCAGCAGACTCAGTAGTAGCTTCTGAACCGGGTGAGGCAGAGGCGGACGCAGCACCTGGCAGGGCTGGGCCATCTGAAGCAGCAGCAGGAGCAGGAGCAGGGGAAGCAGTAACGAGAGAGGCGAGGGGCTGGGAGGGCGTGGCGGTCGGCGTGTCGCGGGCGTAAGTCGAGGAGCGCGCGGACGAGGAGCGAGTGGAAGATGAAGAGGAGCGGCTGAGCGTGCGCAGACTCACCAGGAATTCCAGATCCAAGGGCCCGCTCTCCAGGTCGAACAGCTGGCGACGGAGGGAAAGGGGAGAAGAAGGATGGGGATTCAGACTCGATAGCTAATGGGGATGTATGCACGCTGAAAGTGGACGGGATGGGCAGACAGATGGACGGATAGGAGGGCAGATGGACGGACGGAGTCTAGAGCACACAGGAGCGACTCCCTTGAGCTGTCTTACCTCCTGCAGGATGCGGCCCGACGGGGCCTTCTGGTGGAAGATGGGTCGACGACCCTCCGTCGCCTTCACCAATGCTTCCTTGCCAGGCGCAGTGCCACTACCTCCTCCTGCCACCCGGGGCCGCCTGCCGCGCAAATCCGTCCAGTCGTCAAACAGCGAGTTTCCGGCTCTTCCAGCGAGTGCGTGCGACCTCTCGGGATTCTCCTCGCCGCTGCTTCCGCCGCCGGCGGAGCCGTCACGGCTGCCATCAGTGGTGGCGTTAGACGAGGAGGGATTGAGGCATGCTGACGAGCCGCACTGCCACACAAACCCGGGTCGAGCACCCAAGGCCGCCGCCGCAACGGCTGCTCCCAAGGACTCGCCGCCTTCCTTAGTGTCATCCACCGCAGCGCATCGCTGCTCGTTATCAGAACCGGGAAGCAATCCGACGGCGTCCAGGGTCTGCGAGTTATCAGTCTGGGGGCTTGGAACAAGGCGGCTGCCCAAGGGAACAGCAGTACTAGTAGCGCCACATTTGCTGGCATCGCCTGCGCCGCGTCGCTCCGCTGTTCCGTCAAGTGGACGGCGACGCGGCAAGCGTGGCGTTGGCACGTCGGCAGAGGCAGCGTCGTCCATCTTCCCTTCGAAATAGGCCTCGCTTTGGCGCACTGCAAACTCCGAGCCACCGGTGTCAGCACAGACTGCTGACGTGTCAAGATGCGCCGGCTGCGCTGGCACTTCTAGTAGCGTTTGTACCGCCGGCCGCCTGCAGTGACCCAGCGCGCGCCGGCCGCCGGCACCTTGGAGTTGGATTCGACGTTAGAAGAGTCCGAGTTGGAGCGCGAGTCGAGGGAGTCGAAGAATGTCATCATGGGCACGGGGAAGCGCGACAGCGTCGCCGCCGCTGCGTGCGCGCCGTGCCGCATCATCATGCTTGCAGCCTCCGCCTGGAATCCGCCTGACCCCGCGAACGCCGCCGCCGTCGACGGCAGGTACGTCGTGAGCGACGACTGGCGCAACAGAGGCGCCACCGAATGCAGCCGCGCGGCCCGCGCGGCGATTTACCAGGAGCAGCTCTCCTCATCAGTCGAGTCGACAATGACTGGGATTCCCGCTGCCGCCGTGTCGTCGCCTTCAACTTTTGTCTCCCCTGCCAGGTGACTTGCCGCGAACTTGCCGGCGAAATTTTCGTCGACTCCAGAATTTTCTCCCGCCGTTGCTCTGGCGCAAGCGCCGCCATTCGCAGATATATGCTGTGCTGTCCATGCGTCAGATATCGATGCGCTTCGGAAACAGTCGCGCGCAGCGTCAGCATGAACAATGGTCAGGCCAGAAGACGGTAACGGTCCGTCGTCAGGCGACGACGGGGCGGCCACTATCGCCTCAAACACGCTCTGGAAGGCGGCACCGCCGCTACTGCCGCGACAGCAGCTCGCAACCGCATGCTTGTGGTCGCTGACTCCGCCGAAAGCGGCGCCGGATTCTCCGGAGCTACCGCCGGCGCTGCCTCCATGATTAAGCTTTCCGGCAGACTGCACATGATTGGGGAACTCAGTACAACTAGAGGCGGTTGTAGCGGCCGGCTGGCTCCGCTCGGGGCTTGTCGTTCGCGCACGTTCGAGCGCCGGCGTCGTGGGCGAGAGCTCTCGAGGCAGCTGTACTAAGAATGACGCACTCTGCGACACAGGTGGTTCCGACTGCGGCGGTGACGGAGGCTGCTTCTGCGGGTGGGGCAGCGACGACGGCAATATATGGTGGTAGTGAGGGTCGTGGTGAGGAGAATCGGGTTGGACAAATTTGGCTTTGGGGATCGATTAGCGTGTAAGTTTCGAGCGACGATAAGCGGCTGTTGGCGTCTACCGAATGTCGGCTACCCGCGCGGCGGAGCTCGTGGTTCGGAAACTCCGCAAGCACGCGATCGGCGGAGATTCGCTGCTTGTACAATCGCACGCTGTCGTCGGGTAGTATGACGATCACAGACGACACGTTGAGTAACGGACAGGGGGAAAGTGAGGGCGACGCTGAGCCGAACGATTGCTGCAGTGCGGGAGAGCGACAGGAGGAGGGCGAGGAGAGGAGAGACGAGGCCGTAGATGACTTCTCAAACGTCACCATGTCCGCTGTTTGTTGAGAACTTCAGTACTTGTTGCTGACAGCAGTACTGGGTTCGAAATTTTAGTTGACACAAAGAATGATGTGATAGATCATAAGCTTTGAATGGCATCCAGTGCTACTGATTAGACATTATAGCTTGTGTGGTTGTACGCGTTTTTGCCAATCGATACCATTTTCACTCCCTTTCCGATCATGGGTCTTGCTTCGCTCTTCGTTCGCGAATCGCACCCTTGGTGAATGGGAGCAATCCGGGGATGAACGTATACACCCTGTTTCGCGCTACACTATTAATGGCTATACTGACTCATCGGATGTACACACCTCAATGCGTCAAGGATGGTCCATGCACATACGATATAAGCACGTTTGCCCGTACTCAACCGTACCCAAAAGCAATTTGTTTTCTATAAACCGTTGTGTACCGTTCATCAGGAGTCCATTTGCCCGTCACTACCTGCAGTTCGGCTGTAAGCACGAGACCGCTACGTTCCAAGCAGCAGTACACACTGTAGCATTTGAATCTCATTGTCAGTGTAGCGCAAAAAAGGTGTAATGATGCTTACTAGGGTTACCACCTCAACACACATAGATTTCTGGCAACCCAGCGTGTTTTGAATGGAAATTTTGGTAAGCTTATATTCTTCCGATCAGAGGACTGGTATTTTTTGTCGTGGGCCCGTAAACCGCACATTAGTTCGTCCGACCGTCCATTCTAACTCTGCTCTCAATTGCCTCTGGCCCAGTGGGCGGGCGCTAAAATGAAGCGGGCGGGAGATCGGCTGCTGTGAGTGACTGCATGGGGTTGGGTGAGCATCGAAGGGGGGGAGGGATCGATGGGTGGGTGGTGTTAGGGAAGCACTTTTTGTGAACTCTCAAAATCATGTAAGCATGATTTTGAAGTTACAACGGGTTATGACACACAAGCGGGCCTGAGAAAGAGCCTCGATCTGCAAACAAATGCCACAAAGTGGTTGATAATGGGTTGGAGGCTTCCCAGACCAATATTTGTCCTTGTCAAATGTGGAGGATCCTTCGAAAAAAAATGTTTTGGTCAAGACAGAGCTTGCACTGATGACGAGGAATAGATTTGGACAAGCAAATTTCAGTTGAAGTGGCAGGTTTCGTCTGCTTGTACATTTACGACTGGGACAAACAACACAGTCGCGCACAGTTTGCGGCAGGCATTCCAATTCGAAGTCGTTGGAACTTGGATTGGGACGTGTAAGAAGGTCCTTCCTTCGTGCTCTCTCAAATTTGATTCCGCCGTACCCATTGTTAGATAGATACACTCATAAGACGGGGCGTTTCAGATCAAGCCCGGGACCGAGGCGTATGCTGGCTTCTACATGCTTCAATTTAAGTTAACGGAACAGCAGCGAATTCTCCAGCAATCAGTTAGGAAAGTAGCAGTCTATTTATTACATTTTTTTTTTCTGAAATTACGGGAACAGAAGTAGCAACGGTGATGTTGAGGAAACCAACAAATAAACAACACTCTGTATGACGTCCACCCAGTAACCGCTACCACAGTCCAGGAGGGAAGGAAGTCATAAAATGGCAGAGTGGCCCAAAACGCCATCTGTCAGAATCCCAACCACTAGACCATTGGGATAAAAGGGCTTGTTTCAGTAGCGGGTCAGTGCGCCCATAACCCCCCAGGCAAACGCGCCTGTAACCCCCCCTAGGATCGATCGGGGATCTCACAGTGTAGCTCTACTGACAACCCCCCACACTGGGAGGCCCAGGACTGAGCACAGTGGCAACGGCCAACATGTGCATACACCGGGATTCGAACCTGAGACCGCTCTGATACCATGTGAGAATAAGCGAACAGGAATAAATGAACTAGCAGTGAAATGAGTACAAGTAGGAAACCCTAGAATTGTGTACCCCCTATAGGCTAACCCACTGTAGCCTACACAAGCATAACACATATAATGTTTGACACCATCTTCTGCAACAATCTAGTCCTTGTGGATTGCCACACTTGTGACATCCTGTCTTGTGTATAGTCCAGACTTTTAGGGCTTTCAGTTGACAGAGCCGGTTTTCGAAACTGTAAGAGCGTGGTACACCCAACGAAAGATCGCTAATTCTTGAGGATCACGCTAGATCCTTGCAGAACAGTGTCCCACCTACCAAAGTACAGTAATCATTGTGTAAGGTGGTGTACCAGCAGAGGTGGGATCGGGAACATGTGTAGTCAATGCTACACAATCTTTGTGATTTCCGTAGGATCATCAATACTGCCAATCTCGGGATCCTTGTTGACGAGAACAATTGTTTTCGGGATAGGTCGCACAGCTGAAACAGAGTCGTATCCAATCAGAACATTTCGACTGTGGAAATTTCACCAATGAGGTTGTTGCTTCTCAGTATATTACACGGCCAACATTTGCACCCTAAGTATCAGAATTCGTGACTCGTTGCGACGTCGCCTGGTCGCAGAGGATCAGCAACGCAAAATTGCAGATGGTACATCAACAAGGATCGTGATGTGCCCACAAAAGTTGTTGCTTTGCTACCAATGATCCTACGATTTGGGTGTCAGTGATCTCAGCTACGTGATCCTTGAAAAAGCGCCAGGTGTACCCCTCTCTTAGCCAATTGCGCAATTCATGGCTTCTGGGGCAGGGTTACTGTCCAATTTTCGATTACAGCTCAGAGTTAGTGCGATTTCTACGCAGCTCGACGCTCATTGGTCTAAATATTTGAAAAAGACAAGCTTACTATGCAAGTGAAAAAAGTTTAACTCAGTCAGGTGTTAAGCCTTTTTCAAGCCCATATAGAGAGAGCATCAATCCGAAACACCCATTCTCATAGTGTTTAGGGTTGATGCCTCCCTCGATGGCAGCCATAAAAAGAAATCTTTTAAACCCGTCGGAAAGGGCAGTAACCCGAAACACTTGGCCCAATGTTTCGGGTTGATGCTCCCTAAACAATTCCGCCCAGTGTTTAGGGTTGATGCTCCCTAAACAGCATGCCATCTGAGAGGGCAATATATTTGTCTGCCCAAACTTTATTACAAACAGTTCGATAGCCGTCAATCCAAGCGGAGTTGTCGGTCCGTTGACATTTTGACCAATGAAAACTTTACTCCATAGAAATCTCACTAACTCTGCGCTGTGATCGAAAACTGAGCAGTAACTGTGCGCCAGAAGCGACAGTGCTGCGCTTTTGGCGTATAGTTCGAGTAACAATGCGGGATCAACTAAAAACCCAGAATTTTATCCTCATGGCTTGTTGTGAAGTCACAAAGTCGTTACTGTTTTACGATCACCATTCTTTCGTCTCGTCACCATTCGTTAAGCACTGTTGCAAATACAGTATCAAAATCAGAGGGTAGCAGCGCTCTCGATATGTTTTGGGGGTCTTTGCCCGATCTGAGTTCCAGCCTGATTTCACCCTGACACTACATTGGGTCGGGCGCGATGGCCACGAAAAGCAGGATGTATATATTTACTATGTCGCAACTGGCAGTGTTTAACTTAAGCAACTGATGAGAAACGAGAATGAATGCA